TTTTATTATAATATATTACTTCTGTAAAATGAAATGTTTAAAAAATATAATAATGGTAATATTATTATTTGTTCATCTTTATTTAAAACAAATATGTATATATACCTATATATATATATATATAAAAGGTCATGATCCATCGGAAAATAATCAAATTGGTTTTAAGTAGAGAAAATCGTAGATTAGGCATTTCTTTATATATATTTGTCGGTAAATAACTATGGTTAGACACTCAGTGCAGTGTGTTGTTTTTAATCATAATATATTATCATATACCTATGAATTCTAATCTGGGTATGTAAAATACTGTTGTGACTTTGTTAAACTGCGTTATTATAAATATATTTATTATACACGGTAAACTATAGAATATTTGTCACAAATATTCACAATCACATATTCTAAAAGTTAATGAATTCGCAAAAAAAAAAAAAAAAAATGTAATATAATATTTTTTCCATGTAATATATATATAAATATTTAATATATATTTATTAGTACCTATAATATCTGATGCAATAGTAAGCATAATAGGATAATATATTATTTTATCGTAACTTAAAAATTTTACAGTATATTATTATACGACTATACTAATATTTTTTTAAGGTGCTTAAATTAATTATTAGTTATTTATATTATCAAAAACACAATATCCATTTAAAATTTTTTTTTTTTTTTAATAATAAATTATTATAGATGTTACATAAATACAATTCATATGGATTAAACTTAATTAAATATAATCCTGAGATAATCTTTTTCTAATGTGTTAGTTTTAGATTTTAACGTTTCGGATTATTTCTTATCTATTTATTTATTTGGTGGCACAAAATAATTATTAAAGAATATGCCGTTCATCGATAGTGTATCAACTTGTATATTATGTGTATCAGTGTGAAAAATCTTGCTAATTTTTATATTGTAATCTTTTCTTTACAAACCATGTACATTTTTTTTTTTTGCATTAAGTTGCTACAATTCTATAGATTTATGGCGTTTTCACCATTGTTACTCTAATACAGTAACATAATAAAAAAAAAATACTTTAAGCATTCACAGTTTTTAAAATTATTGTGATATTTAAAACAATGTATAATTTAAATATTTTTAAAGGCCCTAGATCCCATTTACAATTTCTTACTTTAATCTATAATATACACATATTATATAATAAAAAGTATGATGTCTTTATTCTTTTGAGTTTAGAGATTACGAGTACCTATGTAAGAAACTTGTCTACCATTTAGCCGTGTACAATAATACATTATAGGTAGATACTAGAATAACTGAAACAAAATAATTGACTTTGTTGTCGTAAAAAGATTAAAAGTTAATTTTTATGCTTGATTTTATAAAAAAAAAAAAAAATATAAATAATTATTATTAACTATGACGTGTAAGAAAACAATATTTTTAGAGTTATAATAAGATATGACTGTTTTTTATTTTTATAGGTAAGGGCCCCGGTTCGGAATTTTCCACACGGACCCTTTACAATAAGTTGCACCACTGATGCGGTTATTTGTTTTTGAGTTATATCAAAAAACAAAACCGATTTGATCGAATATGGATTTTACCTTATTAATCTTTCCCCCTACTCGATTATTAAGGAAATAATTAAGAATTCTTTACTTTTGATCCCAAAAATGCTGAATAGATCGAATTTATTATCATAAACCATTCTTAAAGTTAAAAATTAAAGTATTTTTACTGCCTTAGATGGTGAAAAAAGGCAATGACAGACAAAAAAACCACATTATTTTTGTGAAATCAAATATTCATTGATCCACTCAGAATCTAAAACAAATTTAATACATAAACACACAATGTCTTTCACTTTACAAGTTAGTTGTAGCTGCCATAATTCATATTATTTGTTAACTAGTTTGACATATAAATTTGTTAGTATAATTGCTGTAGCGAATTATTCATTATCACGTTCATAAAATAAAAATAAAATTGTCTGACAGAATAAATTCGCATGCTACACCAATATTCTAATTTATACAGAATTCTGGCTACATCTGTAGCAAATTTTGACGTGACAAATCGTGTGCATGGTTCATGAATGGTAACATATTTTACGCATAGTACGATTATCAAATATTATTTTCGACAAACTGACTAACAAATATTTTAATAATATAAAATATTGTAATAGAACACTTCATTGTAGATTCTACAAAATGATTTGTTCGAAAAAAAAAAATTCATAAAAATATATTCAAAGACGTCTTTGTATAATAGCACACAATTATTATTCATTATTATATTCATTGATTATTTTTAGTGATAGTTTTTATTAAACATATGAAATTTGAAATAATTTTTGTATTTTAACGTAGATTTACATGCTAGTATAATAGCATAATATAGTGGTCCTATTCGAATCTTTTGAAAATTTTATAAAACTTGATATATTTTCATTATCTAAAATATAATATAATATTATACATTGTACCATGGATCAATGATTAGCAAGATAATTAAAACAGTTATTTTAAGTTATAAGTTAATAATAAACAATTTATAGATTTAAATCTAAAAATTTAAAGTTAATTTTGATAAAAAGTATATTATATTTATACTTTATTTTAAGTATTAGAATTTTTTTTTCATATAACTACCTGAGTTACTTATAGTAATTCCATATCTTTCAAATATTTTAAATAATATCCAAACATTTTGTCAAAAATGCCATTCTTTCTTGTTGTATACGAGATATATCAATGAATAATTAATTAGTTTATTCTTATTTAAAATCATTTTATAAAATATAGTAAAACGAAAAAATAATTAATATTAATTAGTGTTAATAGCAGTTGTAGACAATGGCGTTTTTTACAATTTTTTTTTTGCGGAGAGGGGTCGACTTGTTAAAATACGCCTCTGATTGTAGATAATATGTTCACAATATATAGAAAATATGTCCTGACAAGATTTTGATTGCATTTTATTTTTACGAATTAACTCTAAAATGTAAGTCACTGCTGTGTATAATTAAATTATTTATACTTATATTTTAAAAGCTAAAAATATATATGTTTATTATTTACTTAGGTTTAACATTGTAATTAGTTAACTAAGGCAGTGTGTTAAAACGTTTAACTGCTCATGCTTTCACGAAAACTCGTAATTATAATATGTTCCATATTGCTATAATATATCTTTAGGTAAAATATTATACAAACGAAACAAACGCTTAATTCCTAATGGCCGTAATCGCGTGTCAATAGTTATTGTCGTCTGCGTTAGACGTTGGAATTACGTATTCGATGATAAAACGAGAGTGCGCTAATGGGCGACGGGCCTTATGAAGACGAGCGGAGTAAATGTCATAATTAGACCTCCGAATATTCGCTCACGATGTAATATTATTTCAAAACAAAATAGATGACCACGTAATGTTGTAGTTAGTACACCAAGCAGAGCTACGATTTATATCAATTTTTCGTTATCAATACACGGTGACTATCGTTTTGATAGTAGACAGTCAACCCATTGTGATTCGCACGTACAACGAGGTGATTCACAAATTAAATTTGATCCTGTATGGCCAACTTTAAGTACATCAATCGAAGTACATGGACCGAGATGTAATAAATTATTTTAATTTTATTTAACTGTGCATAGCGTTCCAGTAGATAGTTCCTGTAGATAGATTATGAGATACCGTACATAGTGTATGAACTATAAAATTATGTGCAACCATTAATGTACAAAATTCCGTTTGTTCATAACATAATAATAATTAGTTAAACTGTATGTGAGTTTAATGACGAGCATAATTTTAGTTAATGTATTGAATAAATACAAAAATACATATTTCAACTATTTATTCTTTTATATACTAACCAAAAACTAACGGTTGCAATTTAATAAGTGTATTGCAAACAAATAAATATAATTTAAGGTATTTAAATACATTTGTTTTTTTTATACGTGTCAAATAGCTTATTAAAAATGTGTAAATCAAAAAAATTAAATATAATGTAACATAAATAAAAAACCATAGAGATATTATAGTTCTTGATTCTTCATTCACGTCTTATACATTGACTATATTGTAATATTGACGTTTAAACGCATGTAACGACTAACGAATTATGAAAAATAAAATCTCAAATCTCAGAACGAAAAAAAAAAATTAAATTAAGTCAACGCTAAATATTCATATTCACGGGGTATTGATAGGCAAAACAACTACATTATTGTCGATCTTTTATAAATATAATATAATATTGATTAAATTAATAAACACTTATATTTCATAGAAGAGGAAACACAATCATTAACATAGCAGTAATCGAATGTACATTTATACTATATCAAATGAAATTGGGTTAAACGTTGTATTACACAGATGTAAATTATATAAAATAAAATAGAAGAGAGAACATCTATACTTTTATAGCGTAATTGATCGATTTGTTTAGTCGCCGTCGCCAAAGATAAAGTCATTTAAAAGTATATAAAATATAAAAATTAAAAATGGCAAAATATAACATTGCGCATTTTACATATAAAAACATACTTTTAGTATCCAAAACGAATACAATATGTTCACAAGTATAAAATAATCGAAAAATACAGAAAAAACAATAAAATCAATTAGTATATATAGGTACACATTGAAGCCGATTGCTGGTATAGGTATTATATTAAATAATATATTATATCATACAAATATAAAGTAATAAATAAAAAAATAAAAATGCAATATTTTAACATTTAACAGTTTTATACCAAAAAATAATATGAAAAAATAAATTATTTAAGCACATATGATTTAAAGAATGAACATTTGTATAACACAACATTTAGGCTTGCCTATACGTTATATTTAAAGAAGATAAAAATAAAACCATAATCAATAAGAGACAAATCAAAAAAACATTAGATAGGTATCATTTAATTTTATTGTCATGCACTTATTAATATACAACATATTATATCTATGTAGTTATCATAATAAATTATAATTTTTTTTTCAATAATAAATTCTAAAACTAAAATATATTTTATTATTTTGCTTATATATGAGTATGTGAGTATTACGATGACAATATTTTCATATAAATATTATTTAAGCAATACATTTATTTAATAAATTTATTAAAGTTAATAAGAACATAATCCAAGATTTTGATAATTATTAATTATTTAATTTTTAGATTATTTTAAATTTAGGATGACTCTTCTACCACCTCAAATTCAGGCATTGTTTCAAATTCACCTAAAATTAATATTTAATAATATTAATGACAAAAAAAAAAAAAAAAAATTAATTATAGAAATTATTTTAATACTAAATAATTTACCTATAACTTATTATATTAAAAAATAATACTTGGCTAATAATAGTAAACTTTTATCTAATTATTTTATTACACAAATCACATTTTTTTTTTATATTGATAAATTGTGTGCTGCATAAAAAAAAATTAACTTCGTATAATATTTTAAAGCCATAATTAAATTTAGTAGTAATTATATCCATCACCGATTGCTAGTGTTAACCTTACGAACATTTTGATCAAATAATAATAATAATAATAATAACAGTAATCTAAATGTAAGAAATTTAAATGACATCATAATATCGATCAAAAAAAATTTGTATTTAGCCCAAAAACATTTACATTATATATATTAATTATACTCACAGTTAAATATGTAATACATAACAAATGTTGAATCTAACTCAGGCCAACAATCGAAATCTAATAAACATATATAATTTAATAATTTTCTTGAATGAAAAATTAATTTCATTAGTATAAATTCTATAAATTTGTGTTCAAATAAATATTATAAATTTAACTTTTTTTGATTTATTAGCCTATTTAGTTTTAATTATACGAGTATAAATTTATACAGAATATTTTAGTCTCTTAGTGGAGTGACGAATACATTTTATAATTATGTATGTTTTTTTTTTTTATTCTGTGTAGAAAATCTATTTTAAAAATTAAGTGGATCTAGTTGAAGCTTTGGGGATCAGAAGTTATACATTTCTAGCACTTTTATAAATAATTAAAGAAAACAAAACCATTATTATAGGGTATTCATAACTTTAGCATAAATCTAGATTTTGAGAAAATCAATTTTGTTATTTTATTCTTATTTAAAAGTTTATAATTATATGAGTATATACTTTAAATTTTTACTAAATGTTTATATTACAATTTTATATACATAATGCATTTTGACATTTTTTTTTGCTATTTATAAGTATTTTAAGTGCTTATATATATAGATAAATTTATCTATTTGCTTTATACTATTTGTGTCATTTATCACGAGAGAAAAAAATTATTTACACTATTATACGATAAATACAAATTGATTTGAAAGTCGGTTACAACAATAAATATAATAAACTATTATAATAATTAATAATATAATAAATGTGATTTCCTTGGAAAAAAGTAACTCAACCTAGTATCATTTTAATACTAATAATAAAATAAATTACTCTAATAGCTTTTTAATTTATTATAATTCATGAAATATATTTATTAATATTGGATGATAGATCAAAAATCTCTGATCATTTTTGCTTAGAATCGTTTTTCGTGAACAATAATTCATCATTTTATTCAAATTTAACACATTCGTAACAAATGCAATACTGCCTAATGATGTACAATACTCCAATTACCTACTTGCCTGATTTAATTTTAATTTTTAAATTCAAATTAAGATTTAGTTAATTTAACTTATAATGGTTAGAAATATTTATTATAAAAAAGTAATTCTTGTTTTATTTAATTAATTAAAATATATTAAATATTTAAAAAAGATATAGTAATTTTAACTGCTAATATCATAACTTAAAATATTTATATTAGGAAGTAATAGCATTGGGTATATACAGGGTCATATTTTAACATAACATACTTAAGTGTATTTTATGATGATTATAATATTACGTTAAAAGGGTAACCTCGTATAGTGCTTCATTAAAAGTCAGACGAACTGACTATAATATTAGTAAAATGGTTTCTTTTTACTATATATACTGAATGGTGGTTAGTTTGCTTGAATATTTTTTTAAACTCGATAATTTTAAATTGAATTTGACAAATCATAATTTACAAAAAGAAAAAAATACGAATATTACAAATATATACTTACCATCATATACTTTATAAGTTTGTTTAAATGACATAAAAAAAAATAAATAAATAAATAAATAAATAAAAAAAAAAAAAAAAACTTAAATGTATATAAGTATCTACTTAATATAAGCATTTTAAAATTAGCGTACTATTACATCAAAAATAACTGTTTGTAAATTAGTCAATTTTGTTTTTAAAAATGGTAAATTTAACCTAGTAAATTAATCAAAATTATACTTTAAACTGTTATAAGTATAATATAATATCATATTTAATATAATTGTATTGTTATAAAATAAATATTAATTTCATAGAGATATATAATTTAAGATATCTCTTAGTATTTTTGGGGGTAAAAAGTCGGTAAATTTCTTGTGAATTTAATAGGCAATTTATTATAGTTAGATTTATTTTAAATTATTTTCAAGCTAACATACGATTTTATATTAATGAATTTGATTTTTTTTAGTATAAGTGTTATTAAGCATTAAAATATTTTTAAAAAGCTGAACTAAAAATGTTTAAATTCAGCTTACTTTCCAAATGTTCATTTTCATAAAATTCTTTTATTAACGACTTAGGCAATGGCATTTTTTCTAAAACAAAAATTAGTTCATACCTTACGTTAAATATAACTAGTGCAATAATTGTGTGTAGTTATTTAAATGAGTCATATATTTTCTGTAAAATTAAAACTATATTTTTACAACCATTCAAGTACCTATGTAAAATATTCTTAAATTATACGTATGTGATATAACAGATACATAATAAAATTAAAAAAAAATATAATATTATTAAAAAACGTTAATAAGATTACATTATTACAATAGTATACCTCACTAAATTACATCATAGTTTGAAAACACTAAATTTTATTTTTAAGAAGAAATGATGCCCCATGAAATATTTTCGTGGTCTTGAACGTGTAAAGTATAGCTAATTTTCGTCCAGTAAAATAAATTTTGAGGTGTTAGATTTTTGTACCAAATGGAAAATAATAGAAGTCTGATTATAAGCAAGTATATCGATAATATATCAAAAATGTATTTATATAAGTAATAAAAATACCATAGAGAAATAGAACTTTATGAAGAACAAAAAATACAAAGAATAAGAGACTTTGAGAATAAAGTTAGAGCTATTGAGTAAAGAAGTAATTTGTGAGAATATTTTGGGAAAAAATTCAAATAAAATTAAAGTTTTTCATTAGAAATTATATAATAAAACTCAGAACTCAATGTAAAGAAGAAAGAAGTCTAAATTAGATAGGTAGGCATTGATATTAAGATATCAAATTGAAAAATATATACAATATACATAAATTTCTATATCTAGAAAAACGCAAGATATAAGTAAAAATTCAAAGGGATGTAATAGAAAATGGTCTTTATCAAGGGTAATATAATACTTATGAAGAAATAGAAAGAGTAAAAAAAAAGATATGATTAGTCACAAAAACTAAATGGCTAAGTCAGAAGAACTAGATTGGGAATAACTGAACCAAATAGAAGTGAAAACAGACAAATAAGAATACAAAGTTAAATAGAAATACTCGTAGTTACATGTTATAGATTTGAACAAAAAAGAATATTTTATACTATTCAATGCTGTTACAGAAAAACAATTGGAATTGACCAGATTGGGAGAAATTAATAGACGTCTAATTCTGAAATTCAATAAAATTGATCAATTTAAGGCCATTACTAATATGACATTCAAGTGGGGGATATAATAATAGAATACTAGAAATAAGTTGGTTGGGAAAGAATTTTGTTAATAGAAATACAGTCTCAAAATAAGAAGAGAAACATTCAATAATGTATACAGGTTCAAGCATTGCTCATGTATAGATTATTTAATTATAAAAAATTAAAAAAATGGTAACTTCAGAAATTAAACTATCATGTTGCAGGAGCAGATATCTGTGTTGAAAACTATGGGAATAATCGTACAACACAATCGAACATTAATATTAATAATTAATAGTAATAAATTAAGATGTATTATATTAACATGTGGATTCCTATTGTGTAACAGTTCTTTACACATGTGATCACTATTGAACTCTGTTATTAATAAAATAATATTTTATTTGTATGTGTTTCATTTCATTGGTGTTGGTCGGGATTAGGAATTAATTAACATATACGACACTACAGATTGAGGGATACAGTTTTCAAAATAGCGTGAGACAAACTAAAAAAAAGTTTCTTGAGTGTAAACTGTACACTGTAAGAGTGTGTGTAAGTGTAATACATACGTTGAGATATCATTCTTAATGCATATGACATATATGATTCACCAAATAGTGGTGTAGCTGAAAATACAATCAAAAAAATAACTATTAGTCTGCATTATTTACATAGATATTTTTATAGTAGATAGGAAATTAAAGCAATATAGTGTACCTATAAAAATATTAAGGAATGTCTACTTTTCATATTTTTATTAATTTGTATAAAAAATATTAATAACCAATTAAAAAGTATTTTTTTTTAATATTTATTTTTGGAATAATGATTTTTAAAATATTTTCAAAAAATATCTAAGTGAGTTATTAATCGTACAAATTAAAGCCAATATAGGTTACTTACTCTCTTGTAATCTTTGAAACCAGTTCGAGCCCAAACCTAGAAGATAAAATGGTTAACTATTAGTTATAATGTTAAATTCAGTTATATAATCTGAATAATCAGAGAGTGATAACTATATTATGTGGTGATTGCTGTATATTTTATTGGTCTTTACTCTCAAATATGGATACTATCCACTTTACAGCGTATACAATACTATTTTACATTAATTTTCAAGTTTTTTCGATTTTTTTTTTTTAAATTTCAATAAAAATAATTATTTTCAAGTTTTGAATGACTTTTTATTATAGGTATAATAATAATATATATTATGAACACGCTATGTTGAAGTTAACATCTTCATGTTTCATCACATGAAATTCACATGCCGAACAAATTATTTGTAAAAATCAAGTATCTGATTCATACTTTTTGATGAACTTTTTGACTTATCTATCTAAAATGAATATTTAGTCGGAGGCGAACACAACTAAAAATAGTATTGAGCATACAATTGAAAATTGCCAAGAATGAAATATTTTATAATTTAAAGTAAAAAGTAAACAATAATTTTTATAGAATATTATGAAGTCAGAATTTAGTTTTATATTTTGTCTCACAGGCCAAGACTGAAATTTCCTTCTTGCCATTGCAACACTTAATACAATATAATATTTTGTCATGCTTCTACCGTTCTTCACAACTGTCTGTATCGATATTATATGGTAATATATAATTAATTGTTTTATCGTTTTCGGTGTCTAGATTCACCAAATTTTTCCATTGAACAATACAGAAATGTAATGGTATGAAACACAATTACAGTATTTATATTTTATTATTATAATATGCATAATGTATATTTGTACAACATATATATTACACTAATTATATATCCTAGACGTACATGTTATCTTACATTCGTTCTGTATTATTGCAGATTACCACCATTCAGGTATTTATATTTGTTAATTACTTAACAAAATTATAATAATAATCCTTAAGCATGTTACATATTTTTGAGTTGAATTGGTCTCGTATCAACACTTACTCTGCGTACTGTGACTAGATTGTCAATCGAAATTATATAATTTTAACATTTTAATTCAATATATGTTAAACTGTACTCGGTATAATTAAGTGTCTAATCTAATATTTTTATCATTAAAATTCTATCATAGTCCTCCTTTGACTATTAAATTGTCACTGATAAAACCTACTTACCAAAGATAAACAACATTTATTTGTTATGTACTATGAACCATATAAAATTAATAGTAGAGACGTTAGGCACCGAGTTACCCACATACCAATATACTAAACAATACGTATGTATCGATATATTCAAGTTTATTAATAGTATGATACAGAGCTAGCGCTAAGAAAATTTTAGAACTGCCCAACATTTTAATATTTTTGTACATGCAGATTAACTAAATTTGCCGTTCGCTAAATTCGTTTAACAACCACTATTTACTATAAAATGACTACACATGTAAATTCTTTATTCAAAACTTTATTCATTACATTATTACAATTAATAATAATAACAAATTAAAACATTTTTTTTTTTTTTAACAATATTTAAACATTGTGACAGTTATGTATTTAATATTTATCACAGATATCTTATACTATATAGAAATCAGCTGTGGTATTTATTACCCGTTATAACTTTTAGTTTTTACCAAGTATGTGATTCATATACTATATTATACTATATTGTTCTGTGTTATTGGTAATTATGGTCGGAGTTTAAATATTGAATGGTCACATTATTATCAGTACTGTATTGCTCGAATTGCTTCGTGTTATCATATAAATTATACAATCTTCTACATGTATATGATAATAAATGTTATGGAATGGATTCATGATTGATAACATTTGTGGTGATAAAACCAAACAAAAAATATTAAATAAAATACATATTATAATTAAATTAAACAATATTACATAATATGCCAATAATACAGAAAATTCACGATTTTTGGTAATGACCAAATTGGCTTTTAGAATTGCCCATTTTAATTTAGAACTACCCATATTGGTTAGAACTACCCATTAGCGCAAGCTCTGGTATGATATGATTTGGGCAATAACTTTTTAAATGATAAATCAAACCACTGTAGCTAGGTAGAAAAATCATTAACTGTCAGTTAAATAAAAAAATTAAATTTTCTAACGCTTCAATCAGCACTAATAATTAAACTTTTACAAGAAGCAATATCTTTAACAATTAGTTGTGAAACTTGTAAACATAGTTTCTTGGATATACAAAAAATAAATACATGGGTAAAAGTACAAGCATGTTACAAAAAAGGTATAATACAGTAATACTTCTATAATAGACATAGAAATAAATTAGAAAAATAAGAATATTTTAACCTAAACTTAGATAATATAAATAATTTAATATATTAAAATATTTGTATGAAATTATAATAATAATTAACTACTTTTCACGTTTACAGTTTAAATGCACTAGATTGTGGTTCATGGTTCATACAGTTGTATCCATAGATACATTATACCTATTACTCGGGTATTATAAAGCTATTATAACTTATAAGTAATAATAACTATGAAATATATAAACTATCCATCGTTCCGTATATATGATCTATGTTCGTATTAAACACAAAATAATTAACAAAATAATAAAAAGAATCAAATTAATATGTACGTAATATTTTATCGTCGTTAATTTTTTCTATAAATGTTTTTTATAATTAAATAATACAAAAAAATATACATAGTAAATTTAAAATCACAAAACTGTTTTAATTTAGATTTAAATACTTTTAAGTAAAATAGTATATAATGACATTAAGATTTTTACGGAAAATTACTTTTTATAACTTTTAAACTCGTGTTTATAATTTCAAAATTGAATTTTTTTACGTTAAATATAAAGTACATTTTAAATTCTTTAAATTATATGTTTTAGATAGGTATACAATAAACTTAAATATTTTCAAAAAAAAATACTTACGTTCAGAAGTTCCATCTGTACATTATATTAAAATAAATATGAAAAAAAAAAAAATGATAAAATATAAATTATAATACTTGTGCAACTAGCAAGTAAAAATTTAAACACTATCTTTTTTAAATAATAAATTCTTTTGCATATTAAAAAAAAAAAAAAAACTTTATTTTGATAACTTACATAAAACACCCACTATATAATTTCAAAAACAATAATTAAAAATGATTTACACTATATTTATATTAATATGTACAATATATTCAGATTTTTTTAAAGTTTAAAATTTAAATTATAAGTTAATAAATTTCAAATTGTAAAAATATTAGTAACGACACAATATAAGGTACTTAATTATTTCAATTTAATCCAACGGTATTTTATTAATTTTCCTTGTCATTTTAATTGCTCATATTATATTTTACTTAATTTTGATATGTAATTATATTGTTGTATGGACCTTTACAATGTTTAAGCCAATAATTTGGTTAGAGTTACTTACTGTACATATTTTCTATATGTTTTGAAAAATAAAATAATGTTATATATGAATTATAAATAATTATAAAGTTTAATTGATAATAAAATTATTCAAAAATCATCATACTTAAACGTCCGTTTGATCCTGTATAAAAAATAAGGATATGGTTTATATACTTCTGTCTAATTTAAATATTAAGAAAAAATTCAGAATTTATTATACATTTTAATTTTTTAACTAAATTTTATATTAAAAATGTAGGTATCTTGAACACTATTTGAACATTATATCTATTATCTGCTTCATAATTCTACGATAATTTATTTATTCTCAGTATTTATAAAAAGTTTAAATGAAAAAATATAATTTAATCTTAAAATACAACATTACTTAATATAGTATTATTATTTAATTTATAATACATATACTTACTACTTAATGGCACTGCATAAAGTTAAATAATTTAAAAAATGTAATAGTTAATAGGTTTTCAAAATACGTTAAACTAAAGTATGTCATATATTTATTATATTTAAGAATAGATGCTCTAATTTTGTCATGCTTATATTGTAATAACTAGTTTATAATAAATTAGTGATATATCTATAACTACCTATGGAAATTGTTACAATAACTTAAAACTATGATCACAAGCCTGTACCCAGAACAAATTTTCAGGAGAGAGATAAACATATATATATATATATTTTATGAGATTTATTAATAATAATTATTTAAATACGAGAAATGGCATAATACATATTATAAAATTTAATTAAATTTTACAGCACAAATTTTAAATATTTCTTTTTTTATTTTAAAGTACAGTTGATCACTAAGTACCTCAGGATTTACATGGATATTTTTATGTACTATGTACATAAAGTAATGCTAAACCAATTAGTCTATCTTCAGTGGTATATATATTTAGCAAATAGTTCTTAATTATTTTTAGAGAATAAAATGTCCTTTCGGGCGCTGCAGTTGGCAAGGTAAAATAATTGTTTGAAAATAAGTTTCAGCTACAGAATATGTTTCAAGTACTTCGCGCTATATTGCAATTGTTTGTGGTATAATGCTATATTATTATTTATTAATAATAAAAAAAAAAGGATGTTAAATTTTTAATTTGTGTAATGCAAGAAAATTTCCAAGGAGAGTACCCTCCTAGGTACGGCCTTCTATGATCATATAATTATAGCCGTTAATACTTGTCTTACAAGTTATAGTCCTTAGTCATAACTAGTGACTCAAATGAGTGTAATGAAAATAAGATAACGATAATATTACTTTTAAAAATAACAATAAGAAGTGTTAGTTTTATCGAAAAAGTGGTTTTCATTTATAAATTTAACAATGAATTAAGAACTTTCATAATATCTTATACTTACCCGTTGATTTCACTGTAAATTTAAATCAATATAATTATTATTATTATCTAATTAATTAAGAAATAATAATATAGTAGGTAAGTAATTTATTATACGTTTAAAATAATACATGAACTGTAATAATTAGTAATATTATTTTTAATTTTATTTAAGTATAAAATGAATGACCAATTAGAAATATGCATTAGTACGATATTAAAACATGAATGTAAATTGAACTCTAAATTTTAAAAAGTTGAAAGTAGAGCTCTCATAATCTCAAAATGACGGATTTGATGAAAGTTAGAAGAATTAATGACAGGTAATCGCTATCTTTAAACGATCAGGAATTTTTTATAATTATATTACTCAGTATTGAAAAATACAAATTTTATAAATTAAATGTATAAGTAAAAACAAATTCCATAAACTTGTAGTTAGATAAATTTAAAATAAACTTACTAAAATTTACTTCATGGCGGTAATCTAAAAAAAAACAAGTAAGGAATAATATAAATAACATAATCATATTTATAAATATATTGATATAATGCCTAATACATTTATAATTTCAAAAAAAAAATATTTAAGTATCTAAAACATATATTTTTACATAACTTAGGAAATACATTTTTTATCATTTTTAATATTCAAAATTTTTCATGGTTTTCATTATATTTTTTTCTCAACAATTTTGTATTGTAAAGGACTACAGATAGTGTATAAAAATATTATAGTTTTTAAAATAATACATGCAACATAGTATATTATACTATAAATTAAAAAAAAATAAACTCGTAAGTAATATTATAAACCAATAAAATACCCTTTTTATAGAAATTAATAAAAATTATTTTATTCTACAAGCGATTTCATTCAGACAATGTGAATTTATTCGTTGATTAGAACTAATTTCCATATTAGCCATACCATAAAAAAATAAAAGATAAATAACTAAAAATATTTAGTTTTATTTTATAGCGATTTATCATTAATACTAAAACAAAAAAAAAAAAAAATGATTATTTTATTAAAAATTAAATTACCTCTTAGTGGAAAACTCTCTTTTTTCATTCAATAATAAAAAAGAATAAAAAAAAAAAAATTGTAGATCATAAAAATATTCTTAAAAACATGATTTTAAAATAATAAGGGACTTGTGTTAAATGGATTGTAAGTAGTATACTCGTATACGTAATACATGCTACGTAGTATATTATAAAGGAAGTATGATATATCATTGTATTATTATAAACGTGTTTTTTTTTAAATTCTTATTAAAATCCATCTAAAAAATAGTGAACACTAAGAAACTTGTTTTAAACTAAATAATAATGTTTTGGGATTTGAATTAATTGAAAGTAATGTACTCGTAAGTAATATTATAAACCTTTATAAAAATACCCTTTTATTTATAAAAAATAATATAAATGAATTTATTCTACAAGCATTTTTCTTTTAGGCAATGTGAATTAATTCGTCGATTTAAATCTATTATCCATATTAGCCCTACTATAAAATAGTAAATGATAAATAACTAAATAAGTACTAAAAATATTAAGTGTTATTTTATAACAATTTACTATGAAACTTAAAAAAAAAAATTATTATTTTATAAAAAATTAACTCACCTAAATCGCCAACTTTTTTCATGAAATTAAAAAAAGAAAAACATTAATAGATTATAAATAAATTCTTAAAAACATAATTGTTTTTAAAATAATAAGTGCCTTGTATTAAACGAATAGCTAGTATTCTAATACTCATGTACGTAATACATACTTCGTATAGTATATAATATAATATGTACGATATATTGGTGTACAATATATATTACTTTATTTTAAAAATGTTTAATAAAATTCATCTAAAAATTAGTGAACACTAAGAAAACCGTTATAAAATATAACAATAATGTTATATAGATCATAATAAATTGAAAATAATATACTCGTGAGTAATATTATAAACCGATAAAATACCCTTTAATTTATAAATAATAATATAAATGAATTAATTCTACAGTTAATTTTATTTTAGATAATGTGAATTTATTCGTAGATTTAGAACTAACTTCCACATAAGCCCTACCATAGAATAATAAATGATAAATAACTATGTAAGAACTAAAAATATTCAATGTTATTCTAGAAAAAATTTATCATGAATACTAAAATAAATTTAAAAAAATGATTATTATATTAAAAATTAACTTACCGCTTGATAAATTGCCATCTTTTTTCATGTAATAAAATAAGCATAAAAAAAAATTATGAATCATAAAAATATTCTTAAAAACATAATTGTTTTTAAAATAATAAATGACTTGTGTTAAATAGATAGTAAGTAGTATACTCGTATACGTAATACATGCTACATAGTATATTATAAAGTAAGTACCTATGAAATATCAGTGTATTATTATTTAAGTTTTTTTTTTTTAAATGTTATAAAATTCATCTAAAATATAGTGAACACTGAGAAACTTGTTTAAAAATAAATAATAATGTTATGTAGATTTGAATAAATTGAAAATAATATACTCGTAAGTAATATTATAAACCAATAAAATTACCCTTTTATATATAAAAATTAATATAAATGATTTTAGTCTAGAAGTAATTTTTTATTAGACAATATGAACTTAAAAGTTGATTTAGAACTAACATCCATAAAAACCCTACCATAGAATAATAAATGATAAAAACTAAAAATATTCAGTGATATTTTATAAACATTTTTTATGCATAGTAAAAAAAAAAAAAAATGATTATTTTGTTAAAAATTAATTTACCATCTAATGGATCGTCAACTTTTTCCACGCAATAAAAAAAAAAAAAAAATTATAGATTATAAAAATATAAAAATATACTTATAAACATAATTGTTTTTAAAATAATAAATGACTTGTGTTAAATGGATAGTAAGTAGTATACTCGTACACGTAATACATGCTACATAGTATATTATAAAGGAAGTATAATATATCATTGTATTGTTATAAACGTGTTTTTTTTTAATTCTTATTAAAATCCATCTAAAAAATAGTGATCACTAAGAAACTTGTTTTAAACTAAATAATAATGTTTTGAGATTTGATTTAATTGAAAATAATGTACACGTAAGTAATATTATAAACCAATAAAAATACCCTTTAATATATAAAAATTAATATAAATGATTTTAGTCTACAAGTAATTTTCTTTTAGACAATGTGAATTTAAACTTTGATTTAGAATTAACTACCACATAAGTCCTACCATAAAATAATATAATAAATGATTAATGACGATATCAATACAAGAAGATTCAGGGTTTATTTTATAACGATTTATCATAAATACTAAAAAAAAAAAATGATTATTTAATTAAAAGTTAACTTACAAACTAATAGTTCGTCGTCCGCTTTTTTCATGCAATTAAATTAAAGTATTGAAAAAAAAAATTAATAGATTATAAAAATACTCTTAAAAAATTTATTGTTTTTAAAAATAATTAATGATTTATGACAAATGGATAGTAAGTAGTATACTCGTATACATAATACATGCTATATAATATATTATAATGTGAGCACTTATTTTATATCAGTGTATTATTATTTACGTTTTTATTTATAAATTTTTATTAAAATTCATCTAAAAAATAGTGAACACTAAGAATCTTGTTTTAAAATAAATAATAATGTCATGAAAATAATATAATCATAAAAATATTATAATTTATAAACCAATAAAAATACCCTTATATTTAGAAAAAATAATATAAATGAATTTCTTCTAAAATCATTTTTTCTTTTAGACAATGTGAATTAAAATGATGATTTAGAACTAAATTCTACATAAGCACAACCATAGATTAATAAATAATAAATAACTATATAAATACAAAAATATTCATTATTATTTTATTACGATGTATCATGAATATTTAAAAAAAAAAAAGAAAATGATTATTTTGTTAAAAATTAACTTACAATCTAATGGACAGTTATATATTTTCATGCAATAAAAAAAAAAAACATAAAAAAAAATTATAGATGACAAAAATATTAATAAAAACTTTGTCGTCCTTAAACTAATAAGTGATTTATATTAAATGGATAGTAAGTAGTATACTCGTATACATAATATACGCTACATAGTATATCATAAATAATAAAGTACCTATGATATATCAGTGTATTAATATTTACTTTTTTATTTTTAAATTTTCATTAAAATTCATTTAAAAAGTAGTGAACACTAAAAATCTTATTTCAATGAAAATACCATTTTATTTATAAAAAAAAATTATAAATGAATTTATTCAATATTAAATTTAATTTTAAACAATGTACTATTATGATTTAGAAAAAAAAAATTTTTTTTGTTAAAAAAAACTTACATTCTAATGGATGGTTATATATTTTCATGCAATAAAAAAAGCAAAAAAAACAATTATAAATCATAAAAATATACTTAAAAACTTTATTGTTTTAAAATTATGATTGATTTATATTAAATGGATAGTAAGTAGTATACCCTTATACATAATACATGCTATGTAGTATATTATAAAGGAAGTAGGATATATCATTGTATAATAATAAAATGTGTATTTTTTAAATTCTTATTAAAATCCATCTAAAAAATAGTGATCACTAAGAAACTTGTTTTAAACTAAATAATAATGTATTGAGATTTAAATTGATTGAAAATAATGTATTCGTAAGTAAAATTATAAACCTAAAAAAATACCCTTTTATTTATAAAAAAAAATAAATAAATTAAATTATTCTACAAGCATTTTTCTTTTAAACAATGTGAATTTATTCGTTGATTTAGATGTAATTTCCATATCAACCCTACTAAAAAATAATAAAT